AAATCTTAAAAAATAAAATAAAATAAAAAATAATAAAAGAATGACTAAGATGGTAAATTTTATTTATATGTATTCATAATGGTTTTTTTTTTACTTTCTTTTTAATTAATTTGTTTTTTTAGTAATCTCTACACCCAACATGGGACTCCAACTCACGACCCCAAGATCGAGAGTCACATGCTCTACCAACTGAACCAGCCAGGCACCCCATGCTTTTTCTTTTCTGTATTTTATGATGCTTTCACATCTTGGGCCCTCAGTAACTGGGAAGAGAATGCACCTCCCCAAATTAACTAATTTCTACTGGTAGAAAATCACTTGCCTGGAATATGCAAACCAACCAGTCCAGAGCCCATACTCTGAACCACATCCTCTGAGTTCTACACTCCAGAAGGCAAAATTCTTCAGCCCTAAACACCCCAGGGCCCAATACCAGACAACCAGGGACAATGCCTATAGTCCAGGGCCCACCAAAACCACAATAAGGGCTTTTTGCACATGCTTTCCCCTCATCCTCTCTACCTGTGGCCAACCTGAGTGGTGCGGCATATCCCCTCCTCTTGGGAATGGAGAGGAATATTTCCATGGCCATCATCTCCTGATCTGTTGGCCTAACTATACATGAGTAAGTCCAAAATCCTGGGTACACTTTACAGCAGTATATTTTAGTCAATTTTAAAAAGATAATTTTTTTAAAATATTTTATTTATTTGACAGAGAGAGAGAGACAGCGAGAGAAGGAACACAAGCAGGGGGGTGGGAGGAGAAGCAGGCTTCCTGCTGAGCAGGGAGCCCGATGCGGGGCTCGATCCCAAGACTCTGGGATCATGACCTGAGCCGAAGGCAGACGCTTAACAACTGAGCCACCCAGGTGCCCCCCCAAAATAAATAATTTTTAAGAGTACTGAGAAAGATTGATGTATCAATTATGGTACATCTATGCTACCATAGTTTGGGGTGGTAGTTAAGGATGTAGACTCAAGTGTCAAATTTCCGGCATCCAAATCCTGGCTCTATCACTTACTCGCTTTGTGATGTTGGGCAAGTTACTTATCCACTGTGCCTCAGTTTTTTCATGTGTAAAGTGGGGGGTAATGATGGAATGCACCTCTTAGGGCTCTGTGAGTGTTCAATGGGTTCAAACAAGGAAAGGGCTTAGGACAGTGTCAAGTATACAGTAAGCACTCTATAAATGTTAACTATTATTGTTATGGAACCTGCAGCCATTTAAAAAATGAGAGGGATCTGTATGTGCTGACATGGAAAGAGACACTAAGGGGGAAAAAGTCCCCACTGTGTCAATTTTTTAAAGGAGAGTGATATAAGCAAATAATTCTTCTGGAAAAAGTTACACAACTATAACAAAATATGCCCCCCAAAAAGTATATGAGAAACTCTCAATAGGTTATTTTGGGGGGAAGGAAATAGAGCTCTACTAGAAGGTGCAAGAGGAACTTTTATTTTTTATTCAATATCTCCTATATTACTTGACATTCTTACCATGTTTGTTCATACTTAAAAATAGAGATTTAATTTTTTGGAAACCCATGGGATTATTTCTCAATGTTCTTTATTGCCACCTAGCGGATGCTGGGGGTATTGCCTGCCATAATGGGTCACCAGGTTAAACTTACTATTTAATGTGATACCACCTTCTTGATTTAGTGCCTTACACCAGGCAATTCATAGCCTCCAACTTTCAGATGATAATGAGTTTTGTAACAATAACAAAAACAGATCCATATTTATAAAAGTCAATAGATGCTAAAAAAAAAAAAAACACCTTGTTTGGTCTCCTTCACTGAATGATCATTCTGGCTTTATGTTTATAATCTTGATTAGTTTAGACCCATTGGCCTGACCTAAATGATCTCACACTGTACCCAATTATCTTTCCACAATGCCTAAATTTCTACATAAGTATGGTCACCTGGGTTTGAATACGGATTCCACGACTTCCTAGCTATGTGACCTTGAGCAAGTCACTTCACCTCTCTGAGCTTCAGTTTCTTCTGTAAAATACGAGTGATAATAACAGTAGATCCCTCAAAGGACTCTTGGGGGCCTTATGAGTTGATACATCAAGCACAATGCGAGCCACGTGATAGGGCTTGATAAACAATTTCCACTGGAAACACCTACAGACTTCAAATTTCAACTTAACTGACACTTCCTCTAGGAAGCCTTCCCTGACTAGGTCACATTCCTCTCACAAGGTCACATTTCTTCTTCCTAGCATTTGTCACAGATGACTGTTGGATGATTGTTTGATTAACATCCATCTTCTCTGAGAGAATCACAAGCACTATCAGCACAGGGCCTGGGTCTGGTTTTACCCCCAACATCTACCACAGTGCCTGGCAGATAGTTGTGCCATACATAATTATTGATAAAGAAATGAATTAATGACGTTAGAAAACTGAAGGCCTCTAAAATATTATATGTTAACTAAAACAGGTATCACAGACTGGTTAAATTCTGATGGGCAGGACAGGAGGCCTGGACCAGAGGGGTCATCCTGCAAGACAGCGTACATAAAATAAATTGGAAATAGGATAAACTGTACACCTCTAACATTTGTCCTAAGACCAGTCCTGTTTTTTCAGTCGAGGTGAAATTCATATAACATCTAATTAACCATTTTAAAGTGTACAGTTCAGTTGTATTCAGTACAGTGTCCTGCAGCCACCATCTGTATTAAGTCCTAAAACACCTTCAGCACCCCCAAGGAAAACCCCATCACCATTAAGCACACTCTCCATCCCCTCTTCCCTCAGCCTTAGGCAACCACCAGTCTGCTTTCTATTTCTATGGATTTACCTATTCTGGATATTTCATATGAACAGAGTTATATAATATGTGGCCTTTTGTGGCTGCCTTCTTTCACTTAGCATAATATTTTCTTTTCTTTTCTTTTCTTTTTTTTTAAGATTTTATCTACCTATTTGAGAGAGAGGGAGAGAAGAGGAGCAGTGGGAGCAGCAGAGGGAGAGGGAAAAGCAGATTCCCGGCTGAGCAGGGAGCCCAACACGAGGCTCCATCCCAGGGCCCTGGGATCATGACCCGAGCCCAAGGCAGAGGTTTAACCGACTGAGCCACCCTGGTGCCCCCACTTAGCATAATATTTTCAAGGTTCATCCACCTTGTAGCCTGCATCAGTACAGCTAACCCTTGAGTTGACAGCAAAAGCCACGAGGCATTTATCTACAACCACCCCCCTTAGTCTCCAGCTACCCGATCCAAGGTGACTGGCGGAGGCTGCACCTGCTGCCTTCTGAGTCCCCAGGAAAGCCCGCCAAGGCCCTCAGCAGCCCCGGGGCCAGGACCCCAGGACAGGGCAGGGCTGCAGGTCGCCCCTGCGCTGATGACGGAGGAGGGGGCGGTCGGGTGGAGCACCCCCCGACCCGGCCCGCGGGTTGGAGGCTGTGCTGAAGCGCAGGGACGCGCCCAGAGACCAGGGAAGGGGTTGGGCAGGGAGCCCCGAAGCCCGGGCCGCCCCTTCTCCTCCTGGCGCTGGGGCTCGGGGCTGCACCAGGCGCGGTCCCCTCCCACACGTGGTCCTAGCCCCGCCGCCTCGCGGAGGCCAAGCACTCACGTGTCGCCGCAGCCGCCAAAGGCCACCAGCTGGTGTTGCACCTCCAAGGAGAAGGGGACAGCTGAACTGTGCCTCCAGGTGACTGTCGTTACCAAGCCAAGGCCACCAGGCTGCGGACGCCGCCAACCCGGGGCCAGGCCCGCCAAAGCCGCCGCAGCCTCCCAGCCCGCCGATGGGTGGATTAAAAAGCGCAGGTCAAAAGTTACACCCGGGTTTTCCAGTGGGAGGGGTAGAGGGCGGGGCTCCTGCCCCCAGTGGTTCAAAGGTCAACTGCGCTTCCTTCTTTTTATGCCTGAGTAATATTCCATTGTATGGATTACACCACAGTTTATCTATCCACTCTTACCTTAATGGATGTTTGCATTATTTTCACCTTTTGGCTATTGTGAATGGTGTTTTCCAATCCTGTTTTTTTAAGCCTGCGTGGTCTGTCAGATCATGAAGAATGAAGTATCAGTGTCCTGGACCAGAAACCGGGGCACAGGGTGGTCCTAGGGGTGATTGACAGCCACTAGCTAGTATAATTCAGCAAGCCTTTTTACCTCTTCAGCTGAAACCTAAGAGGTTGAACCAGAATTTTTGTGTAAGTAATTTATTTGGAAGGTGATTCTGAGTATTTAGTTAGGAGATGATCCCCAGAAGTGACAAAGGAAAGAGAGGAGGGAAGCCAACAAATTTAGTGCACCTTTATGATCACGTTCCTGCATTGGGCAACCAGAGTTCGGTTCCACTGGGGACCTCTGTATGGACACTATATGGAACAGATCTTAGAGCTGTCCTACCCAGTGGGCAAGGGAGCTGGGTATCTATCCACTAACTCCTATCTGTCACTGGTGAGCACTGCTCACAAGCTACCCACTCTGTGGCCCCTCTGGACTCCCCCTTGCGCATGCTAAGAATGCTCTAGAAGGCCCTCAGACAGTCACATGTGCTTATAGTAGGAAATTTGGGGCATACACGGAAGGATGCATGCAATTTGCAGATGAGGTGCAGTGGTCATTGACAATGCATGTTAGAGGGATTATCAAACTCTGATCCTCAAATCCCTGGGAGCTCACATTTTAATGAGACAAATACAGACTTTTTTTTCCCACCTTAGTTGAATCTTTGCCCGAAAACTGCTTTAGTTTCAATCATCTTCTTGGAAAAGGGAAGAGATATACATCCTTTTCTCCTATTTCTTCAAAACTTGAAAGAGAGCAGACTCGGGCTGAACTTTATTAAGGCGGATGTATTACCTTGAGCTGGGCACTACTCCAATCTAGGTCTCAGTTTACCCTGTATGTGAAGCTATTTCTTTAAAAAATATATTTTTATTGAAAATAAATAAATTTCAATTTTATTGAGAATAAAACAAAGATACAGGAAACCACACAAAATTAGTGTATGGCTTAGTGAATTATTATAAAACAAATGCTTTCATAACCACCACCCAGGTGAAGAAACAGAATTTTGCCAGATACCCTACAAGTCACAAAATGAAGCTATTTGCCAACTAAGGTCTCTTCCTTCCAAAATTTACAACTCTGTATTTTTATAACCAGCTCATTTGTAACATTTAGCCTTACCCCAAAATTCTATGATATTATAAAATGTATATTAATCATTATGTGACTCAGATAATGACTCCCACACATAAGCCCGTCCATGAATTCCCACTGACTTGGGAGTAAAATCCAGAAAGTTTACTGTGACCACCAAGACCCAAAAGGATCAAGCTTTTCCTCCTGTTTCCCAGTACACTCCAGCCACCATACAAATCACCTCTATGTTTCTCCAGCATGTAAAACTCATACCCACCTCAGGGCTTTTGCACTTGCATTTTCCCTTTGCCTGAAATGCTCCTCCCGAACTCTTCTCCCATCTGACTCTTTCTTGTCATTACAGTCTCAACTGAACTGTCACCTCCTCAGGGAGGTCCTCCATGACCACCTCATCTAAAGTAGTACACCAGTCACTCTCTCACATGATTTCATTTGTTTCCTTCATAGTAGTAATCACTCCGAAATTATCCAGCTTATTTATGTTTGTGTATTTGTTTATATATCTATCTGCCACACAGGGCCCTTCAGCTTTGCAAAAAGGATTAACATTGTGGGTTATTCCTTTATCCCCAGCACCCAAAACAAAGCCTAGCCTAAACTGGCTCTCCACAAATATTTGTGGACCAAATACCACAGAATGAACTCATTCTATCTCTCTGTCACAATGACATTTGCATCTCAGTGGGAAGAGAACACAGGGATGTCTACCAAAAAAGACAGACAAGTCTGCCAACATTGTCAGTGTTATTTACATCGCCTAGGCAAATTTCAGAAGGCCTGGTAGAAATCCAGGTAGGCCAACTAAAAAGCAAGCTTACAACTCTATCCCAACAGCTCACACACACTGCAGTCTGTCTTAGTCTGCTATAAAAAAGTACCACAGGGTGAACGGCTTAAACAACATAAATTTACTTTTCCATAGTTCTGGAGACTGGAAAGTCCAAGATCAAGGTTCTGGCAAGGTTCCAGCTCTGGTGAGCGTTCTCTTCCTAGCTTGCAGATGGCTACTTTGTCCTCCCCTGGCCTTTCTTCTGGAGTGTGCATGGAGAGAGAGCATGGGGAGGTGGGGAGATCCGGGGCCCATGCTTTTTACCTGGTTATCTTATCTGAGCCAGAGCAGAAGTATTAAAATTTTCTTCATGCATGAAAGCATCTGCATAGCTCAGATAAAAGGTCCACAGCTTACATGTTCTTTCTTACCTCTCAAGTTGTTTGGAGGAGAACCCAAAGCTCAACATCCTCATGTCCATGGCTTCCTCATTGCCTAGTGTGAGTAAGAAGAACAGCTCAAAGAATGAAAAAACAAAAAAAACAGCTCAAAGAATGTATTCTGGGTTATCCACTGGCCTGGCTTAAGTCCCTTCTGGGCACCAGTAGAACCCCTTGCCTACTTGAATTATTGCCTTTCTGTGAGTCTGTTTCCACCTTTACTCTGTGGATTCCTTTGGCACTGGAATCATGTCTTATTTTTGTCTTTTAAAAAAGTTTGTTTTTAAATTACAAAAGTAGTACATCCTCACAGTAGAAAAAAATTCAAACAATAAACAAAAAAGAGAAAGTCCCCTTTTGATATTGCCCTGTTTCCAATCCCACTCCTCTCCCCAGACGGGACCACTATTAACAGTGTGTTGTATATATTTCCAGAACTTTCCATTCACAAGAATAATGATGCCAATAAACGTGCTAATGTTTGTTGAATGTTTACTGAGTCAGATGCTATGCTAAGCACTTTCCGAGTGTGTTCTCAATCAATTCACAAAACAAGCCTAGAAGGTCGGTGTTATTTTATTTCCTATTTCACAAAAGAGGAAGCCAAAGTGACAGTTACAAATGTGGTAAAGCCAGAATTTAAACCCAGGCAGGCTGACTTTAGGGCTCATGCTCTTAACCTCTATTGTTCTGCCACTTGCTGTGGACTTTGGAATGTCATAGACACTTCTCCATAGTTACCCACAGAATTCTATTTCCTCCTTTTTTAAAGTTGCTCAGTATTCTATAAAATGAATGTATTTAATTCATTTTGTCATTCCATTGACACACTTTTTAAAAATTTGCAGTTTTTCATTGCCTTATTTCATCAAATCTAAGATTCCATTGATTGTAAGAAGCACCTAGTTTCAAAAAGATTAAAATGTGAAATAAAATATGCATCTTAAAAAAAGCACATCTTGGAATTAATGTAATATGGCATTAGAGACCCAGCTGCAAATGAACGTGCATCCATATAATTGACGTGTATGTTTCTGCAGAAGTTCCCTGGGAGTAAAATTGTGCACTAAGATGAAGGTGCATTTTTTTTTTTTTAAAGATTTTATTTATTTATTTGACAGAGAGACAGAAGAGCACAAGCAGAGGGAATGGCAGAGGGAGAGGGAGAAGCAGGCTCTGCACTGAGCAGGGAGTCCGATGCGGGGCTCGATCCCAGGACCCTG